AATGTGTTACATTATAATACCATTTTTGTTTTAACAGAAAACAGCAGTGCAGCTTGGTGTAAAAAAAGACCCTACCCAGCCATAGTGCAGACCTGAGTCACCCAGCAGTAAAAGCAGGGAACACTTCACCTAGAACAGCAATCTGCTGCCCTTGCTTCACATTTTTACCCTGCTGCCCCGAGAGACATCTTTCCTGGAGACACCTAGCCAGTGGAGTAAAGACAAAATTGGAATATCGCTCAGTCTGTGCTGTGTGATTTATTTATGGATGTTCAGTGCTGCCTGAGTCATCATGATTTTTCCCTGATGATTCCTACAAGTAGACTCTGTATGCCACCTTCTGCAGTCCAATGACACCACAATATTTGTACAAGGGAACTACCTATTAAATGTTATACCAATGGGAAAAGGAAAGCTGAATTTAGCTGTGATTCATTACTCTCTTATTTCTTTCTGAAGCTGCATTCCTCTCCACCTGCCTACTATACCTCGATGTGCTCTCAGAAAGTGACTGGGAATAAAGTGGCTCTTTATGGGAAAGGAACACTAATGTTGCCTGTCACATCACTAACAGGAATTTAAGTCTCCCATGGTCCACTGGAAATGACACTGTGGAGATCCCAGGATGAATGTGTAATGGAGGTCGCAACTGCGCTGAGAAGTGATAGAAAACATACTGAAGAAGGCTATGGAAGAGATGAAGGTGGCCAATAATATTAGAAAGAATGTAGGGCAACTACAGCATACAAGAAGCCTGGAGCTCGGCTTGACTACACCAGGTTAACAGAGAACTGGTGTACCAGGATGAGCATGGAGAGTGCATGAGGTGGGAAGGCGTGTTGGCAAGACTTCTGATCACCTTCATCATCAGGTCCACAATTCAATATTCATCCCCCATCACATAATTTAAACACCTAAATAGAGCAGAGCACTGTATGTCCATTATGTTCACCAAGACTGGAAGATGCAGGCAGACATTCGACAGCCCCTTCTATTCCCATCTGAGACTGGCACTCCTCTAGGAACTGCTGTTACCTTATGGTCCCGGTCAGCATGTTCTTGGTAAAGTTAACAGTGTGAAGGGGGATTATGAGAATGAGATGTGAAAACAAGAACCTCTAATATACAGACTCAAGAGGCAAGGGAAGAACAGAGGTTGGACAGTTCAAGTAGAATATCCAGTGGAGGAGGGAATGGGGCACGATATGAGACTTGTCTTCTCCAAGACATTGGATTCAAAGATCAGGTGTTACTGCAAGTCAATACAATCTGTATCAGAAGCAACAGAACAAAAAAGCTAGTAGCTCAGGCTGAGATAGGAGAAAACGTCTTGGAGGCCACAGAGTGAGTAGAAATGAAAAGATAGGAAAAGTGTAAAGGCTTACATGAGCATACTGGTTTGAACTGGGTGGGGAGATGGAGGAGAGTGATGTTGTGAGTCGTGTCGCAGCCTTACTGAGCTATTTTGGGATAGTCTGCAAAATAGTGGTGAAAGGAGATGCCCACCTGATAACCCCTGTGAGATGTCATGTCCAGCCCTCACCAGGAGGACTGCCAAGATGATGCGCCAGGGTGGCTTGCCTAGAGACAGAATCAATGCCAAGGTGCGCTCTGAGGTCCACCAGGGAGACCACAAACACACTGAGCTCTGGAACCAGTACCACACTTCAGTCATCAATCCTTCCTGGGCCACAGGAAGGAGTATGAAAGACGGAAAGGCCGAGTACATTTAATTGAGAATCAACATCTCGCATGGTCTTAACTGTAATCTAATTTTGACTTTTAATAAGTTAATTATATTGGCATGAAAAGAATAAAGTCTGCTTTCAAATATTAAATCTTTTACTGCATAGCAAATTGAAGTTACACGGGCACTAAACTCTCTAGAAAAGTACTTCTTTCCAGCCAAAAGGCTTGGTAGTTCAAATATCACTGATATTCGATAACAATCAAATTAATGCATGCAAGACTGGTAGTTGTGAAGTATCCAGGTTATATTCTTTGGCTCTAAATACAGAAGCCAACTTGTATCATACACAATTTCTATCAGTTCAAGGAGTATTCTCCTAAAAGCTTTGTGGCATTCTTGGACTGGGACATACAGTATAGAGAAGCTGCCTATCTAAACATTAAATTTGCAAACTTTTAGGAGTGCTTTAGAAATGTGAGCAATTATTATGAGCACGAAAAACTGCCCAGAGTTCCCATAGAGTATCTGTACTCATTATAAGACAAGTACTATCAGCATCTGCCTCAGGCCCTGCGAGATATAAGATGTAGTGTCAAAGTGTGTTTCGTGTGTCATAAAGCCAGCTTGCTGCGTTATGACATAAACAATATGACTCTGATAGTCACACTTAATATACACAGATTCAAGTATTTATCTGGATGCTGTCTTCTGCTCATGCTTTTCTTGAGGAATCAATCAGGGAATGATCAAAGAAGTTGCTTGTTCTGATTCACTGTCCACAGTGACTGAGTGCTATTGAAATGATGTAGCCTTACTGCTTAGCCATGTCTTTCTTGTGCTGTGTTTGTGTCTGTTCCCCTCTTGAGCTTGGTGACAAGCTTTGCCAACACAGGTCAAGCAGCTCAAATGCAATGTGACAAAACAAAGATCTGCATGTGTGAAGTTCTGTCCTCTCCAATCCTACAGGACAGCATAGTCGCTTTACAAATACAGGAGGTTAACTTCATGTTGAAAAGTAGAAAAGAAAGCAGAAAAAAAAAAGTTTTTCTTCTAATAACTTTTAATTGTAGAATTAACCTCTTGTTCCTTTGCAGTTTGTATGCCGACAGAGCTACCTGCTTATGGTTCTTATTATTACAGTTGGTATATCGGTGAAATTAGGAAACACAAGAAAGACAAAATACACTCTTAAATTCAAAATTGCCACTTTTTCATGCTTTTACTGCCTGCCTTAATTGGATTATTTTCTATTAGAGGAGTACAAAGGCCAAGAGGGGTTAGTTTATTGACCCCTGGCCTTGACGCATTCACACAAGTCAGCAGTTAAAATGTAACTCAAACACAAACCACACCAGTGGGAGGAAAGAGAAAACATTGACTGTGAGTTGCATTTCTTATTATGGACTGGACTGGGCTGATTACATCGCTTTATAGTGTGGTAAAGTGACGCAACTGTCTGCAGCCTCCCACCCCACACTGAAGCAAATGTGTGTTTACTTGATTTCCGCGGAATCCTTAAGGATTCCAGTAGGATTAGTATCTCATTGCGGTTCCAGAGAGAGGCCCTGAATAGAAAAGCCACTTTAGAGGACTAAAGTTTCTTTAGAGTCTTTAAAACGTCTTTAGAGTTTGAGGGAAATGTTAAGAGACCTATAAAGAAAACCAAAGTGAAATTTAGGGGGCGTTCAATGTAGCAAATAGAAAAAATATTTTTCTCTCATAATTTTGACTTCTGTCACAGGATACATTTTAGTTCTGTCCTCCTTATCCACTGTCCACAAAGAAACTGTGTAAAACTGTAAAATGATACAACTGTACACTTGGAATACATCTGTTTATACAGTAGGGCTTTCTTTACCATCTGAAGCCTTTACCATCTGACCATTTAGGGAAGCTCTGAAACTCAAATGTTTTTCACGTTTTACATCAATGATTAAGATTCATCATATTGTCCTGCTGGTAATTGTGAAAAATGATAGAAATGACCACTTGCTGGCATCTTAAGTGCCCTCATTGAACTGAAATACACTCAACTGTTCATCAATTTCATTGCTCTACAATTATCCCTGATACTTGTTGGTTTCGGGTCGGTGTGAGCAAACACTGCCATCTGACAACACAAACGAGAGTGGGAAAAATTTCTGAACAGATATCAAATGCAATCTAGTTGCCTCTTCTCACAGTTCTCATAGCAGTTACATCAATACATACTGCTCATTTAAAACAAATATATCTTCACACTTCTCACTGGTTAACTAAACAGCTGTATTGTTCCCTTTCTTACACCAGTATATTTGAAAACAAAATCAGTCTTTGGGGAAACAGGCAGCAGGCTGCATTTTCTTTTCTCTCTCATTAGTAGGGTCAACTAATAGCCATTTGTTTATAACTCTAAGACTAAGTATTAACATTTTCCAAAAGCTCATTTTAAAATCCTAGAAAATAATTTGACATAATTGCAGAAATCAAAATATTTCCACCTTAATGGCATCAGCGTCACATGAAATACAGAATTATACTTTTTAAATTGCACTACGTCCGATAATAGCTGAAATAAATAATTTCCCCAGTAGTAATAAATACACAAAGTGTATTCTTCTTCAGAATTAATTTCCGGGAATGAAAACTGCTGAAATGAAATAAATTAAGGCCAGTCTTACAGTCTTTAAGTAGCGGGATCAACAAAGAGAGATGGATGGAAAGCAAAGCCTTGGAGAGGTTTTTTTTTGCAGAGCAATAGTCTTGTAAATAAACATGCGTGCTACTTCAGTGCGTTGGGCTTAAAGGTAAGGCTTGGCAGCTTTAAAACAAATCGCTTAAGTATTGTAGCATCTCTTATGACTTTCTTCAGTGCAAACATCAGCTGTTCAAAATATTTTACTCGCATTTTGAGCACTTTTATAGACACTGCGGCTCTTTAGTCTCTTTCAATTTGAAATAGTGTTGACTGCATATGGTCCTTTACATCTGAATCCTTTAATGTTGCGCCCATGGAATTTTGAGAGATTTCTGCCTAATCTTGACCCAGAAGAGAACTGCAGTACAGTGAATTTAATTAGAATAAAGAAGAAGAGAGAATATACTTTTTTTACAGTTCATATAATCAATATACTGTGTCAAAACTGCCAAGCTATTTTTATTTTAAAAGCTAGAGGAGCATAAAGACTAACAAAGTGCCTTCTTAATCACAGTCCATCACCATGAGCTGCTGGGGTAGGTACTGTAGATGGTGGGGGTTGTATATCCTGTAATGTGTCACATAGACATAACTCTTTCACACTGATCCAAATGGCAGCCCCTTTAAACTTACCTCGGTGATGTGAATGACGTAAAACTTCAAATCCTCAGAGGAATCTGCAGAGCAACGACAAAAGCAAAAGATGGCAAATTACATTTCGTGTCAAACGGAGAGCTAAAAATACCACCTCTGAGCACCAACTACAGAAACAGTGTGTCAGCCACGCTCCGCCATCAATCCTGTGCTAACTGTGTACATTTATCTGTTGAGCTGTTGTGAGCTCACAGCGTCTGTCCATTTACACTCCTGTGGAGAAACAATGGGCTGTCAGTGGAACAGAGGAGTGTTGAAGGCCGGGGAGAGAGGCTGGTGTTCTGTCAAGGCCAGTCTGCTCAGAAAAAGTTAGACCCGAATCACGTTTTATTAGACGTAAAGACCTTTTACGTGTAAATAGAAAGCCTCAAAAGAAAGAATGACCCCAAACAAATTTGTAAAGATCAAGAAACATACAGTAGTTTGCAACCATTAACTAATCCTTTTATATGTAGAACTGACTTTGCGTTTATCTTTTTTGATTGGTCAACCGTATCTGTTTAGTGAAAGTTGCCAGCAAGAATGCTAGACCTAGAATGCACTAAGGTACATTAAAATCCAAATGTCTTTTTTTAATTTGAATCACTAATGCTCCACCGTACCACTGAGAAACATTAAAACATGTATGCTGTTTGTTTAGCATTGAATTACACTAAATTCTACAAATGTAAAACAGAACAAAACAACACAGGCTCCTGCACAATAGCAGACTGCT